GGGTTTTATGAAATCGAAGGAATGGGCTTCACTCCCCCATTTAGCTTCAAATAAATTTGGAGTTACTTTTGGCATTTAAACATAATGTCTGCAAAATTCCAATTAAACATTACAGTTTCATGGTATTGGTGATTGGTGTGAATTTTGGTTTTTTTAAACTAATAGGGACGCATTGAACGAATCGTCGTAAAGAATTATTCATACTCTTAATCGTTTGATCATAGTACGTTAATTTACCTCCAGCGACTTATGAAGGCGTTGAACTTTTACACGGTTTTGATAGGAGGTGATAGGTGAAGAAAACAACATTAATTGCCGGGAAACTGTATCAGCTAATGTTGAAATGTCTGCCACTGCGAACTTTAGTAAGGTTTATTTATTATCAATGTTTAGTCAATAGAAGGGAAGTTACACGGTTCAGTAATCACCACCTCCGACTCGACACACACCACACAGCCGACAGCCTCAGGCATCGCATCGGAGATGCCTCGAACGCTACCCAAGTTCAGGGCCACCATCGAACCTCCGTCGCCTCCACTGCTGCAGTCAACACCTCTCCGCTCTGTTGAGGAATTGGTCACGGCTCCACTTGACACGTCACTTTCAGTCCACCAGGATGATAGTTTCCTTAACTTTGCTGTCGCGGCTGAACAACAGGGCTCCACTGGATTGGTAGGCCCAACACGTTGTCTTGTCGTTTTGGGAAATTCTACTTCGAAATTTTCTGATGCGAATGTATCAGGCTGTTGGCGCTGCTTTCCCGCTTAAATAAGCTTTAGTTTAACAACGTTAGAGAGCTTTAGTGGTTTGTTTACAACAAGCAATACATCACCGTTAAACCATTTTCCGGGAAAGATATCGGTATTGCATTTTCTCTTACCTTGATCCTTCGAAACATTAGACTCCTACTTTAAAGGCATTTTTACTTTGGCCAAAAGAGCAGAATTTTCTCAGGACCTGGGTGTAGAGCATCCAGTGTCTGTTGTGGATTAGTGGAACTCAGCTCTCGGAAATTATCGAAACCTCTTGATCCAGTTATTGAATCCTTTAAAGATGGAAGTCTCCAAGCCTTAGGTTGCTAATGAGTGAAATGTTTTCACGTTGGTTGGTCGCATGCTTTGACACCTGAGTGACG